AGACTCGTTGAACGTAGGATTTAAAAAATGTTCATTAATATTTTTTGGCATCCGTGTTTTATAAGATAATTTAGGAACACGGGATTTAGAGAGATTAATAGTTTTCGTGTCATTTAAATTAATGATACGTTCCGGCAGACACGGCACCAAAACCCTGTTTAGTTTAAATTTTCATTGTTATTTTCAGAGGCGCAAACAACATGTACATTAGAGCGATTATTGTCCGGCACATTACTAGTGCTCGGTACTCGTGTACTTGGTAGTGCAGTACACTCATCGGGGCGCATATTATTGGTTTTAAACTTGAGCTTGCGACACTCGTTTATTAAATGGCCTTTCTTTTTGCAATAGGCACATATTTTATTCGGATTAAAATTAGAATGAGGTTTATTATAATAATTACTTGGATTATTTGAATTTTTATTACGCAATGAATTAGAGTTAGAGTTAAGATGATGGAGGTTAGGATAGGAAACCTTGATTTATTTTTGTAGCACTCGGAAGAGGTGTGTCCGAGTTTGTGGCAAATTGAGCACGATTTAGATGAGCGCAGCGATAATTTACTTAATTTAAATAACTTTTCTTCCTCGATAGCATGCGTAATCGCCTCAGATAAAGTTCGAGGGTTCCTACAGCGTACAATATGCGAATAACTAGAATTCATGCCCAATAAGAAAGTATTTAAAGCTAAATCTTCCATTGCTGCAAGTCTACCTAAAAGTTCTTTTTCATCCTCACAGCTGTAGTGAATGTCAGATTGGATCCGCGTAAGGCATGATTCAATCCTTAATGAATACTGTGTCACATCTTCAGAAGGCAACTGTTTACAATTTTGTAGGTCTACAAGTAAATGCGTTGAATGTTTTTTCTCTCCGAATGTTGATTTAAGAAATTGTTTTAATTCGGGCCAACTACTAAATTTCTTTAAGCAACAAGCTAATTGTGCTATTCCTTCAAGTTGGGACACAATATATTTAAACAAAACATTCTGTTGGTCTGTACTTGCCAATGAAATTGCATTTTCGCAATTTGTAAGAAATGCTGGCAAAGACTCGCGATCCCCATTGTAGGGTTTAACGAATTTGATAAGGACTGAAAGGGTGATTTTTTCGGACATTTTTAATTTAATATTTTTCCGTGTTGGATTTGATACCGACAGTGAACTATCTGAAGAGTCGGTGTCAGAGTTCGAAATTTTAACTTCTTCTGCTTTTACCTTTTTAGAGAGAACATTAACTAATAGTTAATATTTTTAAAATACAGTACAGATCATCAGAACACAACAAAATATGTTAAACGAATAGGTATTAAAATACAATGACTTAATGTTAACATAAATCTCTTATAACTGATTACTTTTTTTAGATTAAATCACTTTCACTTGTTTCACTTTGAATAATAACTTTAGAAACTTTAATTTTATATTATATAAAAATTACTCACAAAATGTAGATTCTCACGAATATCTTGGTTTTCCAAAGCGTGTCAGTTAATTCGACACTGCAGCGATGACGTCAATTGCAGCGGTGGCTTGAGTACCTATTCGACGACTCAGGAAGTCTTAAATTACGACGCTATCTCGAAGTCACGTTGCGTTGTCCGTGAAGAAACCTTACACGTGGTGATGGTGGTGATGATGCAAGGTCTGATGTTGGTGGCGAGTCAAACTGTCCGGTGATCCGATAGTGCAATGGGTTGTGATGCGGGCTCACACTCGAAAGTGGAGACTTATCGTCGACCACGATGGAGCAGCAGGAGTTTCTGAATGATGTGGTGCGGGCTCGCGCTTAGTAGCGGAGTCTTATCGTCGACCACAAGTGCAACTGTGCGGGCTTAGGCACATGTACCCAAGACTTACCGTCGACAGCTGGCACCTTATCCAAGGACCGTGGTGATGAACGCTAAGGTTCACGGAGCCAAATAAGTATTAGGCGGGAATTCCTTGTCGCGACGTGCCTAACACCTAGGAATCCCAGTACTTTAATTGCTTTCCCAGGATATCCCACTTCTGACACCAAAATTGTTAGGATGGTTCGCCTGGGGTCCTTTTTTAAAAAAAAGACACCTTTACTGCTGCAAAACTAATTTAATTTAATTTACACTTCGGAATATTATAAACTATAACAAAGTTGTGTACCGATTTGACTGCTTAAATTATATGAAAAATCACTTTTATATACTTTACATAATGCTTACAACAACAATTACTACCTTGTACATCGGTTCATAACAGTGCGAGGAAAAAAACTCTTAATAAATCGCGCAGTAGTTGACCGCCAAGCATCTGAATGATGTGGAGGATAACGTAACTATAGTTGCGATGTGTATTGGTAAAATTTGGTAACTGGAATTAATGCGAATAATTCCTCAGAGCGCTTCCCGCGGTAAATACGATAGAAAATGCAACATCTCTATGTCGCGCCAGCGAATCGAGCCAATCAAAGGGAACTCTGTTCTCGAAGTTCGCATTGGGGAACCCCGGCCCAGTGACGAAAACAGTATTCCATGTGAGGTTGGGAGAGGCTGCAGCTTGAAAAGTTGCAAACGGTGCACCGGTGTGAAATACAGTTCCGCTCTACTGAGTACGCTAAGCTTTTAAGAAGCCAATTTAGCTTTCTCTTCCAAGTGAGCACGACACTGCAGGTCATTGAATATGTCGACGGCGGAAATTCTGATACTAGTTGTGGCAACAAGGGAAGTGCTCTGAAATTGAGGAGATACGACAAAATGGTTTTTTTTAGCAGTAAACGCGCAAACTTGTGAATGATTTGTATAATGATTTATGGTGTGACAACTTTTAAGTTTAGTGCTTTCCTAAAATATTGTTGCGCGCTATAATTAGCGCGCGGTATATGGCGGGTGATTATTAGCGCCATCTAGTATCAAGCAGCAGAAATAGGAGCGTCAAGATCTTTCTAGATCTCTCCCACTAGCGCCATCTAGTATCGGATAGAAGAACTAAGCTAAGAAACCTCCACTTGGTATTTTCTACATCTAGTCGGTCGGGACTGGTATTTGCTGGAACATTCTAGATGTTTCGGTGGAAAAGGCCTATATAAAGCCATTTTGGGCCGCGACCGGAGCAGTATTGAATTGGTGATAGGAGCGAAGTTTTCGTAAGCGATATAAAGTGAACTAAATTGTTTAGTGTGATTAATTATTAGTGTGATTTAAGTTTTAATTGGTGTTCAGTAATTAAAGTGTCAATTTTGGTAATTCAATCGGCAGTTCTTATTGTCACGAACCCTAAGCTCATAACAATCGGTGTCAGAAGTAGAATTAAATCATGCCGATTTTACCGAAGGACGACACGTAGGGTGTCCGTACCCGAAGTCAACGCCAGCAGTAGACGGACCAGAGAAGATTTGGTGGTGCAACGCCATAGACGTCGGAGAGCCAACTGCCAGCCACGGAAACTGGCCCGTCAGCAGCTCCTACACCTGCAGCACCTGACTTAAGTGAGGAATAGTGTGGTTTAGGCTTCGGTATAAATAAGAAATGCAAGCAGTGGCGCAATCTTTTGAATGAAATATGTAAAAAATTGACTGTGAGATGTCGCTAGTATTAACGTAAATCCAAGCTACTGAGGACCCCTGGCTAAGACCATCCAGACCGAAAGTAAAGCTATGATTGAGCGTGTACATCTCTCACTGCAGACAGTCTTCGATTGAGGCAATGCCAACCGCGTGAGATTGAACATCGCGGAATCTTTGATTGAAAATCGCAAGCATGTCCGTTCGCCGTGAAAAGGACGCTCACCTTTACTTTTTTCCGAAATCTATCATTTTAATTCACCAATCACCTTCTTTTGCTGGGGGTTGAGTATTTTCGAACCTGAATTTTGGACGGTTCATTGAGTCCAAGGCAAGGTTAGGTGTCTTTTACGCGACAATACTTCACGCCGGGATTGTTCCTTACACTATATAAAGTACAAGTTGTCATGAGAGGTGGATGCCATATATGGACTGATGCTGTAAAATAAGCAATCGATCTACGACACATTATACTTTAGACTTATTAAATAAGGTCAATTGCTCGTAGTTGTTTCTCGGAGTAGAGTTCACTACCGTGATCCGTATCGTCGGCAATGTTTTTGTTTTACGTGACGCAACACGCAACTGGCTGTAGTAACAGTATTTTCATAATAAATGATATCTGGCTAGTGTCTCATCCAAAAAAAAAAAATATATATATATATATATTCTTTCTGAGTGAGCCTGTCGTACATAGCCTAACTGAAGAAGGTTAAAAAATTCGTTTTACGCAATTTAATTTAATAAAATTGACAATGATGCCACTTAATCACAATAATTCAGATGATTGTTCCACTTTGTCATTTTAAATTTATTTAATGCTTGCTGTTCGTAAACTGTGTTTTTTCATTTTTGTACCTATAACTCTTAAATCATATAGAATCTCTTGAATCTCGATATTATATAGAAAATAAAAAAGACTTTACGATTTATATCTTTATTTAGAGAGGCCAATTTAACACTATTGTAAAAATGGAGGTATAGATTAATAACATAAATCCTCCTTTATATTGATAGCAGTAAATAATAACAAATTGAACTGGCTTATTAATGTAATAAAATTAGTAACGACGGATGTCGTTATACTGAATCTCTTACTGTTAGATATAACCTTATTTTAAAAAATATAATATTATCTAATTTACAATAAAAAAATACTAAGCGACAAAATGCAATTGCAAAAATGAGACGGGTGGTATTCGGGAAATTAACACTGTAATTTCTAATATACAGATAACAAAATCAAATACAGATTCACAATCTTGTCACTTACATTACTATCTAAGCAACATTATCAAATAAAATGGACTATTTTTAACTAAAAGCACCATACATGATGCATTTAACACCAAATATATGTCTTTATTTATTTATAGTTTCTCATAGATTTTCACATTTAGTAAGTTGTACAATGATGAGTTAATATCCTACTGGCGTCGTTGTTCTTACTCACCCAATATCTCCATCTCATCTGGAAAATATTCAAATTTGTCAAAGTAAAGAAAATATGCATTACAGTTACATAAATATGTTTACTGTGTATCCTATGTTTAACTATAATCTATGTTGTTTCGTTAGTTTTATTTTTCTCTTAAGTTTCGTTTTTATTGAATAGTATTGACGATCCAGCACACAGTCTACCTGATGTTAAGCGGAAGCTGTGGCCCATAGACATCTACATTTATCCTCGCTTAAGAATCGAAACGCCCGCCGCCAAGCATCTAGATTGTTATTTATTTATTGCTGTTAGACTTTATCGAGCAGAGAACTTAAAAAAGGCTGACAATTATTTGTGACTATGCCTTGAAAAATATTTTTATTATTAACTGGTGCATTCATACCTGTATGCAATAAGACCTCTGCTCAGTCGGTTCTAACCACATTGCGACGTTGTAGCGCGAGAGCCAAGTCATGCTGTAGGGCCGCAGTCTTCCGCGCGACATCCGCGGGAACAACGGACCGAAGGCCGTTCACAATATCTTTTGTCTTGCCTGTAGACAGGTTAAAATGTAAACAAAATGAAATTTTGTATTTAATTGTAGTTTTATATATTACACTAGATTAGTAATTACCGCGCCAAAGCGTTGCCACTGCACATATGGCAAGAGCCATATGCCTAGCTAACGTCAGTTCAGTGTTTTGCCGCGGCAAAAAATGGGTAAATGCGTAGTGAAAAAATGTTATTCAAGGTCACAAAAACAATAAATCAAGCGGAATCACTTTCAACACATAATTTTTAGTTCTCAAATAATTAAATAAAATTATCTAATATTGCGATTTAGGTTCAATGTTGCCACTTTTCCGCCTTTGTGATTATCCCACATTAATGGGAGACTATACTATTAATGGAGTATAGTTAATTTGATGATTTGACCTCTGATTTTAAATATAAAAATAATTAACTATTCTTATTTTAGTTTATTCATAAATGATCTATCAAATATATTTTACTACCTATTTTATATTAATTATAAATTCATATAAATTTTATGTTAATTACATTTTATTAACTATTTTATATTGCTTGATTTATTACTACAATAAAATACTTATAAAAATATGTTTTATTTCATCATTATGCTTACTTCTATTCATACGATAAGCTTTGTATCCTTTTTTTTTCTGAAGGGGACGCAATAAAGATTTTAAAATAAAATATATTGTTTTAATATAAAAACAAATAACAGCAGCTTAAAAAACTCATTTTTATTGCGTATTTTGGGTAAATTCTCATATAGTAAGCCACAGCAACCCGCCATTGCATGTTTGTGTTTCTATCTTTATCTAATCTTAGCGACGGTATTGTTTTCGCAACTTGTCTAAGTGAGATAGATATATGTTTATTTAAAATGTTTAGTAATTTCAAAGCTATGTCGTCGCGGTTGGATAGTGATTACACTTTTTTCGACGCGCGGTAATATGGTTTGCTCCTCTAGTTTTGTATAACTCAATGAGTTGTACACTTAAAGAAGTTTCCGACTTAAGTATAAACTGGCTGTTCTTATAACATCAGCGTTCTGCCAGTGAGTCCGATCAAAATCATTTCAGCCATTTCGGAGATTAGCCCGGAACAAACAAAAAGACAAATACAAAATTTTTAAAAATTTATTTTTTTGTTGTAATTACCGTATATACTTTCATATTACGCATTAAGAAAAGAGCTGTTATTTTGACATTACAGACACTACAATTTTATTTATTTGTATAGATTTTATAGTCTATACTATAGATAAAAATAACTAATCTTCGTAATAGAGAACAAAATCGACAAATTTTTACTAATAATTAAAAAAAAACTTTCAATAACGATTACTCACACTCGAGCATCGCGGTGGAAAATTACTCCACAGCCCTATCAGGAATGAAAGGAGGCGTGACCTAGCAGTGGACTGTATTATGTAACAGTAGCTACCAAAAACTAATTTATTGGTTGAAATTTTAATTTCTTGGCTACAAGTTTAGTTTAGGTTTTTATTGTAAGCACATGTAAGATTACTAAAAAAAACATTCGTGCAGCTCACACGCGACAGAAGTGAAACCTTCAATTAAAAATTCATGATGTAATAAATTCAGGCACCTTGGGTGTTAATCAGTTGTTCGACAAAGTGACTACCTATAGAATGAAGTAGGTAGCGCTATTATAATTTTACTCGAAAGAAAATATAATATCTATGTGTCTAATATATATTTTTTAAAGAATATTAGTAATCCTATTAATTAACATTACTAATATTCCCTTTAACCATTCCTGGTAAGCTGAAAATGCTTGTGTTAGGAGTGGTTCACGACAGTAGTCGAATGGTGGATTCGACCTCACGACCTTTTGAGTTAGCGGTCCGCGCCCTGCCATTAGGCTATTGTCGCTTATATATATTAAAAGGATTGTTACATTTAATTACTACAAAATTTAATTTTCATATATTTTATGCCGAACTTGTAGTTTAAATTATAATATAAATAAATCATTTGCCGTAAAGTATTTGTATTTTATATTTCATTTCATTTAAAGGTTTCACTACTGTCCTATGTGAGCTGGATGCACGTTTTTTTATAATACATAACGACCCACTACTAAATCGGAGGGCCTCAAAAAATCAAGAAAATTGCAACAATAGATATAATACACAACATAACGACACACCGCTAATATAGATAGATATACACCGCTAAATCGGAGGGCCACAAAAATTCAAGATATTTGCAGCGAATATGAAAATCGATGATGAATTATATTAACCAAAACATACGAGGGCGGCACTGAAAATTTCGGGAATCAAGGAAGTGACACAACATTACTATTTAAAAATGTATTTATTGCTTTTCGAAGTATTCTCCGCGAAATTTGACACATTTATCCATACGACGGAACCAATCATTGAAGCAACCATTCCATTCGGAAGTTGGGGTCTCCAAAATGACCGTTTTGTAGGCGTCCACAGCTTCTTCAGGTGATGTAAATCTCTGTCCACGCAATTTATTCTTTATTTTAGGGAAAGTATAGAAATCATGAGGGCTTAGGTCGGGGCTGTACGGCGGATGGTCTAATAATTCTATGTTTTCTTGCTCTAAAAACTCTTTTGTTCTGTGTGCGGTGTGAGAACTCGCATTGTCGTGATGGAGGATGATGCGGCGGTTGCAGTTCTCTTTACGGAGTTCAGAAACGACCTGTGGCAAACAAATGCTAGCATACCATTCTGCATTAACCGTTCTTTGTCCCTCAAGAGGAATAGACGTAACATGGCCGGTTTTGGAGACAAACGTGGCCATCATTTTTTTTGCAACACTCCGTGAACGAACAATTTTTGTTGGCTTTAACTCATTTTCGAACACCCAAACTCGTGACTGGTCTTTTGTTTCGGGTTCGTACGCGTATATCCAGGATTCGTCACCTGATACGATGTTGTATACAGCATTTGAGGATCCTGCGTGGAATCTTACGAGAGTTCTGACGCACCAAGTAACGCGAGTCGCTTTTTGCTCTTCACAGACCGAATGCGGTATCCATCGGGACAACAACTTTTTTTACACCTAATTGTTCATGCAAGATTATTTGTATTTGACTCATGCCAATGTCTAAAGTTGCCTGAATTTCGCGGTATGTCACATGTCGATCTTCCTCAATCAGCTTACGCACAGCATCAACGTTTTCTTGGGTGACTGCAGTTTTTGGACGACTTTGACGGGGATCATCACGGAGCTTGACACGTCAACGTTAAAATTCAGCAAACCAGCGATAAATTGTGGTTCTGGTTGGGGCTTCATCACCAAATGCAGAAATCATCCGGTCAACACACTATTTTTGTGTTAAACCACTTCGAGTTTTAATAAATCATCGCTCTTGAATTTTCTCGAATCAATCCCATTTTCTCAACGACTAAACAAGTTTGACAAAACCTTGTGACAAGACCGAGAATCTTTTTTTTAAATAAATAAATGGTATTCGATTTTTAAAACCAAGGAGTTTTCAATTAAAAAGATTTTAATATGACAGGAACAGTCGAAATATTCCATTCCCGATACTTTTATTGCAGTCTCTATAAGTTGTAGCATTTGTGGAGACACTCTTATAGCGCGTTTTTAAGAACTAGTATCGACATCTATCTATACCTATAAAAAATCTTAAGAGCTAATAGCACCATTCATTACTTTTACGGCCTGAAGCTGATGAAGATTAAATAGAAGTTATTCCTTGAAGAAGTATATAGTACTCACTAATTACAAAAAGATTTATTACAATTTTACCTATTACGAAGTTGAGATTTGGCCGTTTTTCACTGCTTGTCTATTCAATAGACACATGACACCTTCGTAACTTGTTGAACCAAACGCGTAAGCGACGCCGTTTCGGCGGTGTTTATGACTTTTTTCTCACAACCATTGAGCTATAATGCTTTATCTCATTTTCTCCCACGTTAAATCTTATGAATTTATGTGTCTGTCTTTTTCTACTGGCGCTTTTTCGTTTCACAGACTTTCAAATCACAACGATGATAAAGAAGTTTTCACGTCAAAAATATTAGGATAAAAAGTCATATTTAAGTCATACTTTCCAAATTTATACAACGGAAAATAACGACTAACGATTATGTACTACTCGTGCGGTTAAAGAATGGGATTGAAAATGGCGTCACGTCTATTCATCTCTCGCTCGTACACTCTCACCATCTATACTCATACCCGCCGGTAAACACTGCAAAAAAATACGTTGCGATATGCGTTTTTCGTATGTTATTTAACTTCAGTCCAACTTATCATTGGAATTTAATAACAATATTTCAACTTTGCTTGCTGATTTGTAAGCTACGTCGCGTTCTGAATTTTTTTTTTTCAAAATTATTGTTGTTTTTGTTTGTTAATATCTTTGTATAAGATATTTAAATGCTATTGAGATATGAGTAATTTTTTAAATTTTCGTTTGTATGTCTGTCCGACCAATCTTCGGAAAAAACAGGATTTGATACCATTAATGTTATAGTTTTATTCAAAATTGTTATAAATCATGGTTTGCAATATAATACATGGCTTTGATTACTGAAATTCATAAGAAAATATTCTTAGACAATTTTTGCAGCGGACAACATTAAAAATTTTCACTTTCTCTTTGCAAAGTATAAATTTTATTACTGCCGCTCAGAAACTAAGCATCATATTAAAATTAAAAAAAAACACCCTAATAAATAAAGTGTTATTAGAGAAAAAAAATGATTTTGGATTAAAGAGTATTGCACTCATTACAACTGACTATTTTGTTCAATTGGTGAACAGTTAATTTACTACTCATGTTTTTCTGAGGATGTAGTAAGAAAGGCTACAGAGGGTAACAAAACCAGGAGATGGGCTGCAGCGTTTTCCTACTATCAGCTAGAAAAGATAACAACTGTTTGTGGCAACTGAGGCGAATGTCCCATTAATCCACTTAATTTAAGCTTAGTTTGACTAAACAATCCTTCAATTTCATCATCATCATCATTACAGCCCTTCACAAGTCCACTGCTGAACGTAGGCCTCCCCCAAGCATGGTCTATGGTACTGAAGCCTTTTCGGAAACCGGCTTGTTCGGGAGGCTGGAAGTCGTCGAGTCTGCGTGCGAGACGATTCGTAATGACTCTCGAAAACAGCACGTAGACGCGGCTCAGAAGGGAAATCGGTCTGTAGTTCTTCAAGAGAGCGTTGTCGCCTTTCTTAAAGAACAAGACTACAGCACTTCTGCTCCACGCCTCCGGAGTAGTGCCACCATGGAGGACGGAATTGAAGAGCTTCTGAAGGACTTCAAGTACCGGTGTTCCACCCGCTTTCAGAAGCTCCGCTGTAATTCCATTCTCGCCTGGGGCCCTGTCGTTTTTAAGGTGCTGGAGAGCCATTCTAATCTCGCTCAGACTGACGTCCGGGATATCATCGGAATAGTGTCGGGTAAGACTTGCTCTTGGATCGTTACTCACACTTGCGTGTGGCTCCAACGATGATGTGTACAGCTGCCCATAGAACCTCCCAATCTCACTCAAAATCTCAGGTGTCCCGGAAACGATGCTGCCACACTCAGTCTTCAGCTTTGACTGTTGGCGTTTTCTGGCAGACAAATCTCTGGCAAAGACTTCGGAGCCCTGGTTCCGCTCGATCGCTTCTTTAATACGAGCGGTATTAAAGTTGCGTAAGTCTCGCCGCATGCATTTGGAGATCTGTCTGTTCAGTTGCCTGTATGCTGTCAAATCTGTTGACGATTGCAGCCTCATCGCCCGTCTAACAGCCATGAGATTAAGAGTGTGATCGGAGAGTTTTTGTGTTCTTCTGCGGCGGGTCTTGCAGAACTTAGCTCCGACCACATGGACAGTTTACACGAGATTGTCATTCATATCGTCCACTGCATTGCAATCTCCTAGGCACTGAAAGCGGTTACGTAACTCGAGCTGAAAAGTCTCGGGATTCTGGATTAGAGCAGGAGGGGGACGGAGCGTTGACTTTATTAGACGAGACCTTTCCAACTTAACGTTTAGGTTCAGTGTGCCTCTAACCATTCGGTGATCGCTGCCGGTTTTCACCCTTGCGATCACTGAGACATCACTGAACAGTTGGCGTCTGGTCGTCATAAAGAAGTCAATCTCATTTTTTGTCGCACCGTCGGGGCTCGACCAGGTCCACTTCCTGTGGGGCCGCTTCTGGAAGAAAGAGTTCATCATAAAGAGTCCCTCTTTCTCCATAAAGTCAGCCAGCTGCTGGCCCCTACGGTTCCGTTGCCCTACTCCAAATTTCCCTAACTTCAGCTCACCGCCTTCTCTTGTGCCTAGTTTTGCGTTAAAGTCTCCCATCAACACCGTGTAGTGGGTTTTGGAGGAATGCATGGCTCTAGAAATATACTCATACATTTCCTCCACCTCCTCATCGGGATGTGCCGAGGTTGGTGCGTAGACCTGTATGACCTTTAGCGAGTACCATTTGGTGATTCTGAGTATCAGGTACGCGACCCTCGTCGACACACTCCCAATCTTTACAACGTTGTTGACGAGAGACTTGTGGACGATAAATCCGACACCTCCTTGGGACAGATGGTCGCCCTCCCGGTGATAGAACAAGTTGCCGGACTCGAGGATTACCGTGTCCTCCCCCTCTCTTCGGACCTCAGATAATCCAATAATATGCCAGCGCAACTTGTCTACCTCTTCTTCCAGCTCCAGTATCTTCTCGTCAGTCCTCAGGGTGAGTGCGTTATACGTTGCCAGGTCGAGTCGTTGTAGGTGGCAATCGAACCTCCACTGGAGATTCTTAGCACCCCCTGCCCCGCCGTTACCATGGTCGCCACCGTAGCCAGGAATAGCGGGGCCGCCGGGGACTGGGGGCCGTTTATTTGCATCGTTGCTCATGGGGGGATATTTGCCATAGTTGCCACGCTTGGCGAGCGGGTTGGCAACCGCAGTTTTTTATTATGTTATTGTTGTTATTAGAAAGATGCTGCTGCCCATCTCCTTTCTGTGTCCCTCTGTCGCCACTCACGACATCCACGGGAAGATATGGGGTAGTGGATATTCTCAACCGCCACTACATGGCGGTTCTTCAATTTATTTGCATGTAATGTTGTGATTTCGTTTCAAAATGCACAACCTAGCAGGACTAGTAATGTTGAGCAGTGGGAGGGTAAATAATTTACTCTCACCATCACACCCGTCCAGAGTGGTGAGTATGGACAAGTCTTTAAATAATGTATGCTAGCTATTTAACCTTCATAAGCAGCATCCAACGGTGGATTAAATAAGATATGGCAATACTACATCCAGCAGTGGATTAAATATAATAAAACAATACGATTATGCTGTTTCTCGGCGTGATAAACTTTGTTATGAGAATATCCACAATTAAACCAGAGTAAATAATATAGCCCATAATGGATCAGTAAGCTCAAGTGGCAATGCGCGAGCCATATAGATCAAATAATCAACAGCCAATGGGTGGGATAGGTTCTTGAGTGGTAGTATCATACTAGTAATTGAAGTATAGCCCCTAACACACACAACATGGTAAGATATGCAGTAGTATCTAGTTTATGGTTGCAGGTAGTAGTGTTTTGTGTGCACCAATAGTGCACTTGTGAAGTAATGATGATGAAAAAATAACTGGTATCAAATTTATATACCAAAATAAATGTCATTGAGAGTATTCCTGATCTTGTTCTCCATGTCTTCGACCATGCGCCCAATGTTAGCAATATGAGGTGTTACATCACTCACAGCAGAGTCTTGTTCCGCCTGTAATAATAAATTAGTAAACTTTAATATCCAAATAGATAGATTTAGTGCATAATTCCAAACTAGTATAGTTCCAGTATTACATCCACAGAAATCGTAAAAATAAGACAATAGAAATTAACTAGCGCTCCATTACTTCCAAAACCGATGTAGCCACATCTTAACACATACGCATTAAGCAACAAATATATATATATATATATATATATATATATATATATATTTGTTGCTTAATGGCACGCACACACTTGCTAAACACCGGTGAAGTGCAAAGGGCACTATCTATTATGAACCTTAATTTATAGTAATTATGTTGAATCTTACTCCAATATATAATGTTACATCACTGCAAGCACTTTCAATGTGAGATACCTGTAAACAATGGCCTATAAAAAACCCAAAAACTAGAGATTGACAAAAATTTTGAAGGTGTTTCTTTTCATGTATTAAAATGGATTACAAGTAGTAAAGAAAACTATAGATATATACCATTTTTTTAATTGTAATTGTACTTATTATTTAAAATCAAGCTTAACATTAACAGTCAGAATACATCGAGATACTAAGTTTAATGTCAAAATAATTAATCGAAGTTATAGCGTAGGTACACTTATGAAATAATTAAGTTAGTTTGATATGAATTTAGAAATATTTTTAACAGAGTGGTGAGTCCTATTTTGTTCTTTATGATATTAACATAGTAGTTACCCTTATCCTTTACACTATGTTTAAAAATATAATTAATTATATAGGGTACTAAACAAATATCTGTAGCAGTACCTTGCAATTAATTTTGTCAGCAACTTTACGAAACGAATTTATTGACCTGTAAAATGAAGAAATTAATTTAAAAAATGCCTTTTTTTACATTTTGTATCGCATTTTTTGCAAAATAATTTAAACGGATAATCACATAGTTCTCCTAAATGCATTTAATCAACTGGACTATGTGGTTATCAAGAGGACATTGATCATACTGATGTTACTAAATATCCGCAAATATATTTGTGGCAACAAAATGACTCATGGCTCTCTGAACAGATTCGACTATTTTCTGTAGAGAACCAGTCCTGTCTACTCCTAATATTTATCCATTTTTCTTTAATATCAGGATCTTTCGGGAATCTGCAAACAAGTGATGATTATGTTCTAGTAAATATAATTATTTATACTTCCTAAAAAGACCGCTTTTTCTTTTCATTTATCAGCATGTTGAACATTTATAGACATTAATACGCAAACTTAAACAAATAATTACATTCTAAATGAAATTATTGTATAATTATTATTAAGAATATTTTACGTTCAAATGAAATGTAGTTTTTACGTTTGAAATTCTGAAAAATATCCTTTACATAAACATTGATATAACCCGTACTTTCATTCAAATTAATGACACGGTTACATTACTATCGAGCGACCGATGCCTGCAGCTGTATTATAAACGTACTCATTGCACAATGAATATCTAATATTTCAAATTACATTGCTTGGCGAGTTGGTTCGCTTCATGTGCATCGCGTACAATAATGGTAGAACAAAAGCAGCAATAGTAATTGTACAATTCGAAAAGTAATAAATGAAAGTTCACAAAGGTAAATAAAGTATTCATTTAGATTTAAATTAGTTAAAACAATGATAATTAGTAAATAATCAACTTACCGATGAAATGTTATTGCTTTATTAGTTGAATTACACGTCCAAGATGAGTTTTACAACTGATTATGCTGCAGTTCACCATTATAATAACATACATTAACGTCCGACGTTCCCCGCGCAACTAAATTACAATATGGTGAATGATGTTCGTCAACACATCATAGCGGCGATAAGGTCACGCGTCTATGCGATTTCTATTATCTATTATCTTATTATTACGATTTCTGTGATTACACCTATGTATTAATATATGAAGTAAACTTTGTACACTTATTCTAGTATTCTATATAGTTATTCTATTCAAGATGAAGGTTTGACTTTGGTTGTTGTCAGCCGTGCACATACACACCGTGTTAGTGTGTGTAAGCCTTGGTAGCGGCACAGTCATGTTCGCGAGTCGAACGAATCGCAGTTACACACACAAACGCGTCCGTCGATACACGTCACTAGTACAATCAAGGCGAAACCTTCATCGTGAAACAGAATAACTAAGTATACAAATTTTATAGCATATTGTGCGCCAGGAGGCAAGAGATTTGTAATAGTTAAAGTTTACATAAAGAAAGAGTCCAAAAAGCTAAATTTTATGTATAACATGTGTTACAAAAACATTAAATAAAACGAAACATTCATTGTTTAAGTTCATATTGCCAATATCAATTGTTAAACACATAATAGTCTATGTTCAAATAGTCACACAGCATCGAGACTGTCACCAAAGATTTTAAAATGTTGAAAGTAAAATAAAGGTTGCTTATTATATAAACATAAAAATTTAATTGAAATTCCAAATAATAACTTTTTTTTAAATAATAATTCTCGCAGTAATACTTTGACAAAAAGAATATCCCACACCTGGATGACTGAGTCTTTCACTTTGCAATGGTATTCGAGCAATTATTTCTGCTGCTCTAGTGCATGTCGGCGAACTTTACATGTATATAAAATTGTTTGTTCATCACAGACTTTCTAACAATGTTTCCTTAACTTACTACTAAGCGTATAGTAAATCAGTAGATAATTTTGAAATTAACAATATCAGTGGTGCTGATGGTGTTGAACTCGAGTAGCTTGCATACAACACAATTTGTGCCAAGAGTTTAAGCACTCTACCACAGCTCACATTAATAATAGTTGATTCTTAGTTTAGTCGAGGATAGATGTAGATGTCTATGGGCTACAGCAGCGCTTACCCATCAGGTGGACTGTGTGCTCGTTTGTTACTCTATCCTATTAAAAAATAATATAAGCCACTGTGGATGCATATTACTATCAAAAAAGATGTGTGTTCGCCTGACATGAACATAGTAGAGCAATAAATAAATAAGTAGATGTTAAAAAGTGGTAATCATTATTTTAATTTGGGTTATAATTTTGTGCTTAAGTAATAACAGATGATTGTATACTGACATATAGGCATATAAATTTATTATGATTTATTGATGGAGACTATACCTGTCTAGTCAAACTTCCCCCCAGGTTCATAGTGCCACTGCCTTCTTTATTAGTCTGCAGCCACAACATTGCTGTAGAGGTCAACTTGTAATGTGCATTCCGACCTGAGCTTTTCTCCACAACTTCTACAACATGAATGGAGTCCCAACAACCTTTTATCTTTTGAGAGCCATCACCAGCTTTTTTTATAAGAATCACACCTGGAAAAAATTAAAGGCAAACAGTAACAATAAGCAATACTTCTCAATTATTTAAATATTAGCATAATTTAAAAAAAAATATGGTTACAATAAATGTTTGTTTACTTTAGCTATATTGGAGTGCATGTGAGGTATCTCCCAAGTGAGAATCGGCGCTATAAAAACAGGGAATCCATGCAATGTCATTTGGAGCAGTCAGCACAATTTCAATTTCAATCTTATAATTGTATTTTTTCATCCAAATATTTTATTATAACTAATTAAAATTTCAATGAGGAATTTTAATTAGTTATAATAAATACACTCCATATTCCGTCAAATCCCTAGCGGTCTCATGGCGTCGCACCCATCCACAGCACTATAACCCATAAAAACCTATATATAGAGACTAGTTTTCTATCAAGAAGTTTGACATTATATAATCAATATGAAATACTCTATCCTCTAGTGCAATAAAAAAACTGTTATTCTATGAATATTTATGTTTAAACTACGTTCATTTCGTAGCCATTTTCGCATGAATAATATTGTGTTGATTTTGGGATTTTTCTAATGTTTTATGAGTGTTTTAGTATAGTGTTTTATTATAAAATTGTAATGAAAGTTTTTTTTGTTAATATAATTTATCTTTTTACATAAATAATTTCGAGTAATTTATATTGAAATAATTGTGATTTTCACGCTGCCGACATTCGCTTGGTATGTTTTTTTGTTATCAAAATACAATAAAATCTTTTTGTAATGAAGTAAAACCTTTTAGTAAAGACTTTTGTTTAGACCACAAGATAGAGAAGTATAGATTATATAATGCTAAGTTTCTTCATAGAAAAGTTGTCTCTAAAATATAAGTTTTAATGGTTTTAAGTGCTGTGGGTGGGTGCAGTCGCATGTGACCGCTCGGGATTTACTGGGCGCATGCGACTGCATGGGATTTTTATGGCGCTTGAAGGGTTAAAGAAATACATAATAGTACTAGATAATTTTTCTCTAACATGTTTTAATAACATATCATTCATTCTCAATATAGAATCATGAGGTATTTACCACCCCTAAATACTTTTGCCTTCTTTCATAATTTTTCTTAAGCCAGGAATAGGGTAAAGGTTAATAGTCTGGTGGTTAAGGATATGAACCGTTTTATATTTATCTTGGTAGATGATTACTTGATGACATTAAAAAATTTAATAAATTTTTTGCTGTTACAGTGGACTTCAGGCATAACGATGATGAAGGGACAACTCTACTTTCGTCGTTATATCCAGAAGTCGTTACAGGCAAAGGTAAAGGGATACAGACACGTACATGTATAGTTTATATTCATTTGTTATTGAAAATATTTGAACAAAACCCTCAGTGTCGGCACTTCAGTTTTTTATATAATTTTTGGTCCGATTGCAAAACGAGCTTATAGTATCAGAAGTCTTGCAGTGATTGGGTTGGGTTTAATTTTGTTAAGGACGCCCCAACCACCTCTATTTTAAATATTTGCACGTAGTTATTCACTGGTACATTTCAAATGCTACTCAGAATATTACTTTGTAACTGAACCATAAATTTAACTTGGAAATGTACATGTTTCCCTACCTACATAGCTGATATCTATAAACAAAAGATAAAGGTCTCCACACTTGCTAACCATCTGTGTAGATATAAACAAAAGATGAGAAATGTTTGTGAAAGAAAGAAATCTTTGTCTTTGATGTCTGACTCCAGTCACAATATCTGCATGGGATTTCTAGGAATTTGTCCCTACACCCGAATTCAGCCTTACATCTGAAGTTGCTATAGCCACATGAATTTTGTACTAATGTGTGCTTTAAATTCAAGGGACTTAGATTTAACATCCCTTTAGGTAAATAGTTGCTACAACCAAGGTCGTAATAAATGAAATCCACTATATGTTTTTAATATAAATAACTAATTGTTGATTTTATTAAATATAGACTGATAAGTTCAGGTCTTGAAATCAAATTATTGCAAGAGAATGAAAACAATATTAGAAAGGTTTTGTTTATAATCACACTTTGATTTATACTGTATATGTACATGTTATTTCAAATAAGTTAAACACATTATTTGTTTTTAATGATTAATAAATAATACCTGCAAAGCCATGATCCATGTCCCACAAATAAACAGAGCTAACTCCACCTTCAAAGTACATTTCACGATATTGATCAAATGCATGATTAGCATCAATTTCTAATTTTCTCAATCTCTCTGAGGGCATAGAACCATCTTCAAGTGGTGGATCATAAGTGTTAGACCAAGGTGACCGGTATGAGTCACCATCACGGTTGTAATCGCAAAGAAGATAATCCTTTCCGTTGCTGCGATCTTGAGCAATTTTTAAAGGTTGGTCTACAGACGACAGAAGATCTTCGCAAAGACTCGGGACTAGGTCAATTAAATCTGTCAAATTCTTTTCTATTTGTTGAGGAGGTAACCGCCGCATTAAATCTAAAGCACAGTCCATTTGTTGCTCCGTCTGAAAGTAAGTTAAATAATTAGTAGTTAATAAAATTAAGTATTAGTCATCATCATCAAAATCATAACAAATACTTTTCAAGCCTTTTAAAACTGTTGCTAAATGTTAATAGAAACTAAAGTTTACCATATTTTTTAAAACTCTGAACAACAACAACAACAACAGGATAAATAAAGTGATTCAGAATCACGATAATTTTTTTAATATTAAAATAAAAAAAACCCTTCTAGTTTCCAATTACAGCGATGGCTTAGTTGATAACTTGACATTGACATACGTATTTGCGTTTTACAACGGTATTTTTCTATTATTGATACGTTCAATTTGGCTGATATTATTGAGAACAAACAATAAAACTTAACAATTCAAGCGATACGAATCATTGATTTCACACTTAGTTATAAACCAAATACATGCATGTTTAAATACATAAAAATATAGCTAAGAATACCGACAGACTATTTCTCAACGAATTACGTTCCCGTCATTGGATATTTAAAAAAAAAAACATTGTCTTTTTATTTGGTCTGTTTTCTTGTCAGTACATAGATGTATATAAAAATTCGTCTATGGTTTTATAAGATATGCTTTTTTTATTATGTGCGAGCAGCTATGCAGGCGTAGACAGATAAACATATATACTAATGATTAGCATGGCCTCAGGTGAGAAAGGACGATAACGTAGTTATAGGTTATACAATAATCTTTATAACTTTTAAACATACATATATAACATAAATAAATATAAATAAACACTCACGCATGTCACCCAGAGGGGTAGGCAGAGACTACAGACTTCCATTTGGCACGATGCTGACACACCTCTCTCGCTTCCTTCACATCCATATACCTACGTATACATGCTTGTCGGTTAAGGGTATTCCTAATTTGGTCCGTTTTCAATAAATCGCCAATTTTGTCGATTTTTCGCCTAGGACGCCCCTTTCCGACTTTGCCATTCACTTCTGCAACATAAATTTTCTTTGTCACTCTTTCCTCATTAATTCTTTTCACATGACCAAACCACCGATGCATTCCTTTCTTAATCCTGGTCACAACATCATCTTGCAAACCACAGTCTTCTCTTATCACACAATTTCTCAACCTGTCATTCAGATTCAGCCTTAACATACTTCTTAACGACCGCATTTCCCGCATCCGCATTTTAAACATATTTAGATAAAAATTTTAATTGTTGTAATTGTTCTAAGAACTGAACTGAACAAGATTCTCCAATCTTAAGCTCACATAACACATTTTTCTCACTTAAACCAACTTGTAAACTCCTTAAATCGCTACGAACTGTCAAAGTTGTTTAGCAAAGTGTAGTTTGCTAAACAAAAAAACCGGCACGGAGAAAGGGACAAACAATTACACCGCTCTGTCTCATTTCTATGCAAGACGTATGCATAAATCTATCTTTTTCGTGTGCGAATGCGAAAGAAGGCGTCAATTTGTCTTATGCAGGTCTAGGGAAGAGACCAGTATCACTGCGACTACACTATCTACTGTGATCGTTGCTATGGCTATAGTTCACGGCTAAGCCCTATGTCTTCAATGAATAGAAGGAGTTGCTTAGCTGTGAGCAATTTCACTTCTTCTGGGCGGAGTACATAGTTTCCCAGATGAGTGTTAAGTTTGCGCATTAAGGGTCCGCAGTCAGTAAGGATGTGTAGAGGCGTTTCTTCCGTTATGGAACAGAATCGATACATCCTTGAGTTGCTTAGTCCCAGGATGGACATGTGATTTTTAAGACAACAGTGTCCAGTTAGGGCTCTTGCCAGAATGCGCAATTTATTTTTACTTAATCCCAAGGCTTCTGAAGCTAATTTGAGTTAAAAAGACCGGATTAAGGTTTTAGAATGTTTTAAGCCTTGTGTGTCAGACCAGATCTTAAGTGGTTTATTGGGTAGTTAGTTATAGAGTATTTAGTATTATTAAATGGGTTGACGCTAGTAACTTCAATGTTTCTGTTTCACTATTAGTTAAGTTACCATCTGGCTTTTTAAGAAGCCCGATCTGATTAGGTTTAGCTTTCGATTACATTTTGTGTAGTCTTGCACTGCGAGCCAAAGACTCAAATTCCTCGCATAGCTTCCTTAACGATGCTCTCTTGGCTTTCCAAATTTCTTTATTATATTCAGTTAGGGCTGTACTTCGAAAAGTCTTTAGTACCATAGACCACATACATACCCTTCGGCAAATTGTACAGAAATCCGAAGAGTACAATCTGCCACTTTGCCTGGCGTATGTGGACTATGAGAAAGCCTCTTCAGCGGTGCCAAGTTAAGTGTCGGTATATCGAGATGCTGAAGTGTTTGTACAGTAGGGCTACGATGGCTATCCGAGTACAGAACCAGAGTACGAAACCTATCCAACTGCAGAGAGGTGTAAGACAGGGTGACGTTATTTCTCCGAAACTCTTCACCGCTGCATTGGAAGACGTTTTCAAGCTACTGGACTGGAAAGGATACGGTATTAACATCAATGGCGAGTACATCACTCACCTTCGATTTGCCGACGATATAGTCCTTATGGCAGAATCGCTGGAGGACTTAAGCACTATGCTCAATGACCTCAATAGTGCCTCCCAACGGATAGATCTTAGGATGAACATGCACAATACAAAGGTCATGTTTAATGTTCATGCCGGTAGTTGTTGAGAGCACTAAGCTCGAAGTTGTTGATGAGTACGTTTACCTGGGAAAAATAGTCCGACTAGGTAAGTCCAACTTCGACCGAGAGGTCAATCGACGGATTCAACTCGGCTGGGCAGCGTTTGGGAAATTACGACGCATCTTCTCGTCAGGTATACCTCAAAACCTGAAAACTAAGTTGTACAACCAGTGCCTGTTGCCAGTGATGACCTACGGAACCGAGTCATGCTACTTCACTGATGGCCGTATGAGGACGCTCAAAGTCGCTCAGCGAGCTATGGAGAGGGCTATGCTCGGAGTTTCTCTGCGTGATAAACTTAGAAATGAGGATGTCCGCAGTAGAACCAGATTGACCGATATAGCCCACCGGATTAGTAAGCTGAAGTGGCAATGGGCCGGACATATAGCTCGAAGAACCAACAACCGTTGGGGAAAAAAGGTTCTCGAGTGGCAGCCTCGTACCGGTAGGCGAAGTGTAGGGCGACCCCCCACTAGATGGAGTGACGACCTTGTAAGACATACAGGAAGTCGATGGATGCAGGTGGCTCAGGACCGTGCTTTGTGGCATACCTTGGGGGAGTCCTATGTTCAGCAGTGAACTTATGAAGGGCTGTAATGATAATGACGGTGATGATGAAGGGCTGCACTATAAATATCCAACTCTTTGGTTTTATTTATTTATTTATTCACAAATTGCGTTACATGTGACTTAGAGACTAAACAAAACATGCAAGTTCTAACAATCACGTGCATCTCGAAAGGCATAGCAATGAACAGGAGAGGGGCAGACACTTAAAAATTCTTTTCCTCAATGTATTTATTAATTGAATAATAACTTTTTTTAATAAGTATCTCTTTTAAAGATCTTATGAATTTATTAATATTCGTTTCGGCTTTTATGTATTCCGGCAATTTATTATAAATTTTTATTGACATCGAGTAAGGACCTGTACTGTGTAATTTTAATTTAGATTTTGGTTGCAAAAGGTTATTCTTATAGCGAGTTACGTTGTGTCGGGGCGCGTCTATGATTTTGGTGTAAAAACTTGGGTGTCTTTTTACAAATTTACATATTTCTAATATATATAGGCACGCTAATGTTAAAATTTTGAGACTTTGAAAGTGAGGTTTGCAACTTTCTCTTTGCTTGATATTTGCAAGTACGCGTATACATTTTTTTTGTAAAATAAAAAGTTCATGTGAGTCTACACTGCTGCCCCCATTTTGTTAGCCATATTAAATAGTTTACTGGTCTTTTCCTTAAGTTCTTTTAACTTAGTATTCCACCAAGGAACTTTTCGTGTTGAGGTCTCGGTTTCGACGGGACAAGTGTCCTGGAAGGTTTCTCGGATACCTACGGTTACTGTCTCCGTCGCTAACTCCAGAACTTTTGGAAGAACTTTTCCTAAAAGCATCCGAATTGTTTGGATGCTTTTGGGAAACGTTTCTAAATTTCTCCTTAGGCTATCTCTGTAGATATCCCAGGAGGTCGCTTTTGGATCCCTAAAAGCAACGGTTTCATAGGTTGGTGATGCTCCAATCACAAACTTAATGTGCTTGTGATCAGATATCGAGTTTTTGCTACTAACATGCTAGTCATTTATCCACCTGGACATGTTATTGGTAGCAAAGGTTATATCTAATACTTCTTGCCTAGCGCGCGTTACAAAGGTTGGTACACAACCTAAGTTTAGGCTTACCAGGCGATTTGAGATGAGAAAATCATAAAGTAACTCACCTCTTTCGTTGATGTTGGTGCTTCCCCAGGCTGTGTGGTGAGCATTAGCATCACAACCCACCACAAGTTCGGCGTTGTGTTTTCGGGCGTACTCCGCCACTCGCTCTAACTCGATGTTAGGATCTGCGTTCTCTCCGAGAAGATAGGCTGAGCAAATGATTACTCTGGCTCCTGTGTATACCTTGAGATTTATGTAGGCTGTAACCAGGTCATCATTGTAGTACTCTGGAACAGCTAAAAGTTCAATATTTTTATTATAAATTATACAAGCTCTGGGTCTACTGCCTTTAGTATTGACAAGAATCTTACCGGCAGCCGCCAATCCCAGAACTTGACCGTTGGCCACCTAAGGCTCTTGTATAAGGGCGAGGTTAATGTTGTCCTCTGGAAAGCAATCCTCCACCATGGTAGAAGCAGCTGCTGCATGGTGAAAATTTGCCTGGAGGACCCTTGTCTGACCTTTGGGTTTAGCCATTTATGGGCGTGAGAGGACAGGGGTCTTTTCCCGCCTGTTGAGGACGAGGACGTCCTTTACCTGCGTACTTGACCCCCGCCTTACCTTTCGTCAAACCACTCCCACCTCCCCTCTCCACAGGCCTGGACGACACCAGAAGAGGTCGTCAGATCGAGACGAAATCTGCGCCTTCGTCACACTCACCGATGGCGTTCCAGCCTCACCCCGAGAGGTGGAGGGCTGGGGGATTGGAGTTGGGGCGGTTGGGGCTCCATAGCCTCCTCTGACTTTAAAAGTTATCATCTTAAAGCCAAGGATGACTCTGCCGCCTGCCTTCCGAAGAGCCTCCGCCGATGGGTCGTCCAGAGAAAAGGTTACTAAGAACCCATTCTCCTCGTCCCTACGGGGAGGATTCTTCAGAGCTCGGTATGGAGCCCTTCCTTTTGTGTCCTCAATATCACAGCCCTCGCCTCTAGTCTGCTTCGCTGCGGGGTAAGTAGGTAATGCCCAGCTGAGGCTTAGACAGTTCGCCCTTGGGTATTACCGAGAGCTCTGCCTCCGGCCAGGGCTTCAGTTTTCCAAATTTAACCTTTAATCCAGGCCTAACTTGCCTTATTCAGGCACGTTACCAGAATCCAACCTGGCTTGTGGGTGAAACCCGAAATTTTTGGACCCATTCACGGTTGCTCCCCACAGGCCGTCTTAGCGATGGCCTGTGTTAGTGCCCGGTGGACCAGCCGCATCTGCTCCACACTCATAGGATTCAAATTGCGAATTCCTATACGCGTAGAGCCAGCTACGGCACTGAAGCTGAGCTTCTTCTCCCCCTTTGCCAGCTTCACAGACTTCCTGGGCTGGTCTTTGGGGGACTCTTCCTCAGACCGACTGCGTTTTTTCGCCTTCGGAAGTGGTGGAGGCTTGGGCAGAGGAATTTCGTCCCAGGACTTCTGGCAGAGAGAGAGAGAAGGCCTCTTCAGCTCCTATCTCAGCTGCTATCAGCCTTCGGTACCTTTTCCTTGCTGCCTTACTAAGCTTGTAAGGCCTAACTTTTTCTTTTCCCCTCCCTGGTTCGTTTCCGATTGTGGTTCGGCTGCAGACGTGCCCCCCACTTCACGGCTTGTCCCAGGTTGGGGCGCAATGTTGCAGGGTGTTGATGAGGCTAAAAAAGTCTCTTCCAAACCTACAGCTGTCAGTTTTCGTCCATCTTGTTCCCACGATTAGCTAGGGAAATACTCCGTCAGCCCCGGCAGAGCCCCAAATGCCGAGGGAAGGGCTAAAATACTACCTGAATCGCCCTGGTCTCGGGTAGGCACCGTTTGCGACTGGACTCCCTCCAGCCACGCATCCATCGGCACGGTACGCTTGATACCTTGGATGGGGTTAGGATAGGAAAAGGGGGTGCTATAAAAAAAAAGAAAAAGAGGATTGTCCGAGTTTTTCTGTTCTGTCTGTTTCCTATTGAACCAGACCAAATAACAGGCGGCAACTATGTGAAGGAGAACTCCTTAGACTTGCCCTAGGGATCAACACGACCTGCGCTCTCCCCCAGAACCATACGCCAAACTGCTCGCCGGACAGGAGAGCAGAATAGGTGTTAACCTAGTCCTATTTACAATATCAAAAAGTTAGGAGTAGAATGACCCCCGCTCTAGAGATTATGAAGATATGCTTGTCTCCTTCACGGTTTCTCAATCCTGAATATTAAAAAGAGTACAATATACCACTATTCTCTCCTGCTAAAAAAGTTATGGTCTATTTTCCTCTTCCTTGAATCGGAAACTGAATTTGACAACTTGACAGCTTGTTTTGTCATCTCAATTCTCAATGTTGTTGTGTCAATTTTTGTTGATATTCCTTTTTGAAAATTAGGTACAGTATATATTAATTTACTTTATATTTAATAAATGAAGTTGTTAGGCTAATATTAAATTTTCGTTTTATTGACGATTATATAGCATATTTAGTCAAGGCTTGCTGTTGTGTATTGTTGAATATGATTCATATAATGGGAATGTTGTCCATGTTATTGCACCTTTGTCTATAATATTTGCGCCAAATCGGGGTGCAGGCCTTGTCAAGTCAACTACGCTAGTCAGTTATTGTCGTGAACTTTTAAACTGCTACCGTAATTATTGTGGAACTAGTCTTAACATTAGGTTATAATTTGAACCGAAACTTCATATATATATTATACTTACTAACTTAACTTCATATAACATAATCCATATATTATTATATTATTGACATAAATTTCATTAGACAACTTTGTTTTATATAAAATTTCTAAATGCCTTATTGTAATTTCCAGGAACTGTTAGTGACATCTCATTTACTTAAAGTTTTTATAACCGTGATATGATGCCAACTCAACTAGTACAAGATAACCACGCGAACGATGTACGTGTGAAAACCGTGTATAGTGGAGATGTGATGATAACCTACATTAAACATAATATAACTCTTGAGGAGTTTACGCAGGAGATGATAGCAATCTGTAGATTTCTGCCTGACCAGGTTTGTTTTAAAGTTCATCATTTGTTCTGAAATTAACTTCCTGTGGATGTTGTAAGAAATGAAAGAGGGAAATAAAACGGGAGATGGCCATGTCAATCTCCCTGATGAGTCCCTCCTATGAGGCAATCTATGGGACTACAGAATTTATGTTCAGCAGTGGGATTTTGATACTCTGTAATGAATGAAGTAATCATAAAATTGTAATTTTCTTATTATTAATAATTATGTTGGAATAAATATATAAAGTTAGTCAGAATTCGTAGTACATTGTACTTGTACAATATTAAATGGTATATAAAATGATAATTTGTTAGTGGGTATGATTTACCAGCTATCAGTGTGGGGGGATTTATCTGTGTGTGGTTTCAATAAATCTGTTCTGTGATGAATTGAAATAATGATGTTTTTTATAGAATAAAGGTGACATACAAGTACCCAGTCCACCTGGTGGTAAGTAGATGCTGTGGCTCAAAAATATCTACATCTATCTTGGATTAAAAAACAAAATATATAAGGGTTTTCACCTCTGAGGACTAGGATAGAATGTGCTATTAAAAATAGCTCTCATTCCGTATATTAACAATTTTAACACATTATGAATGCATTAAAATCAGAATTGGCATTAGATGTGTGTCAATTATTGATTTGTCCCACAAACTGGGTCATTCGGGTCGATCATTCAAATTGATCATTTCAGGTTTCAGTACTCTGTGATCTCTGAGACCTGCTTGATAATGTCGGTCCTTGGATATTACTATAATCTGGTCGTTGGTCCTGTCAATCATTTGAGGAACATGGTACGGTTTGAGGTACATGTCTAGAGGTGTAGGAGCTGTAACAATAATAAGACAAAACCTATTGTAGTTATCTGTTGACTCTTATAAACCACATAAAATATGTAATGATAGTGAAATTGTGAATGGTGAAAACTTATCATCCTGCAACACCCGAGGTTTGTTATCCTTTTTTTCCACATCATATTGAGAGTAAATTTTGTATGAGATTTCATTCTAAGATGATGAAGAATTGCCAAAGTTCTATTTAGACTGGTAAAAAGAATAACATCTTGAGAACTTTAACTTTCATTTTCGAAAGCTGCAAAAAATTATAGTTAGACATATTGGGGATTGTGCTTTGACTGGAATGCCTATACATCACAAGCATACCTATCGTAGAGATAATTCAGACAATCCTATGACCATCAAATGGGTGCAATCAAAGTTCTTAAATAGCCTAACAAAGATTCTTCCAATCTCAATTGGGTATTTCAAGCACTAGAGGATGGACACTCGCTGCTGAGGAATTACTGTTCCAAATGGCAGACCTCCTTATTAACACACAGAGACATGCTGATGATTTTGATGATGAGCAGCTTAACGCTGCTGTGTTTCGTATGATGAGTGTAAAGATCTGGAGTCCCTTTTTACTGGAAAGAAGGCTTTTCATCTTAGTCCTTACGGGTGACAACGAATTAAACCCAAAAAAAAGAGTGACGAATTGAAATACGGCTAGTGGCAGTATAGATTAGATTAAGTATCAATTACTTTCAACTTTGCCATCTTCAGGTGTTTACAATGAAATGGGTGGATGAAGAAGGTGACCCATGCACTATATCAACGCAGCTAGAGTTGGATGAAGCATTGCGACTCTACGAGCTGAATCGGGACTCGGAGTTAACAGTACATGGTAAGTCTACTATTACTATTACTGGTAGTTTATATTGAAAAAAAAAATGACTAACAGGATATTTTTCATGTTTATTCTGCTTATAAAGCTTTGTTTTCATCTTCATTGTGTTTTTATAAAATTTGTAGAAGAGTAAATATTAATTAGCAAATACGTATATCAAGCTTGCATCGTAAAATTTCATGTCAGCAGGTAAAATAATACAAAAAAGTCGTCCAGTTGTGTTTTATTTGCGAGAATAAGGAAAAGCATAATTGAAAAATGTATGATTGTACTATCGTCTAAACTCATTTGCACTTGAAAAGTTTTGGTGTGCAATGACCCTCGAGACTTGAGCCACATTGAACTCATTGGGTTAAAACTGTTACTCAAAGTCTAGGTCTCAGGGTAGTGTCCTCAGTTCTAGTCATTTCAATAAATAATTTATGCAAACATAATAACCTAAATTTTTCTTTTTTATTGATTGTACTGTTAGTTCTCTTAATGTAAATGTGAAAATATATTAATAGCTTGGTTTTTATCACAAAACTATAAAAATATATCTATTTACATAAAAATAAGCCCATTATTAGCACATTGTTATAAATTCTATTTTTTATAAAAGAAAACAAAGTTTGTTACACATGTAGTCTAAACTTAAAAACTACTGTATTATGCTATTAATAACATATTTCCTATGAGAAAAGCTGCTCATGGTCCTTATCTTGTGCGGTACTCTTCTCATTTAACGCCTCTTTTAAGACACAAATATAAATTCCATAAAAATAACGAATTATAAAAATTCATTTGATCAAATAAAATTGAATAAGAATTAGAATGGCTATTAAGGGAGTGCTATAAGAAATACATAAATACAATAGAAAGAGATATCATATTGAATAGGGATTGCCACCAAAGAATTTTAAAATGTTGACAACAACAATTAATTACTGACAAATTGAATAAGCTGTGAATATTGCTTGATTTCGAATGTTTCTTTTTCAGGAGTGTATGGAGTGTATATTTTATATATTTTCTATATTAGATAACTGTATCGTATATATGGACTGAGTAGTGAATATTTAAAAATATTCACTACCTCATCATCTCATGGGTGTCGTTGGAGGCGACAGAGTGAAACAAATCAAGAGATGGGCAGCAATGGGTAAACTATGGAGGAGGCCTATGTATAGCAGTTGAAGCGCGAATGGCTCGGCTCGATCGGGGAAGGACCACATTCTCACAGAATACCAGCGTAAAATCGTAGATTAACACTGCCGTGTTTCGTATGGTGAGTTTAGAGAACCCTTTTTACTGGAAACGAGGCATTCTATCTTAGTCCTTAATGGTGATAAAGTATCCGCATTTTGATTTGTAATCAAGAATAGATGTAGATGTCTATGAACACAGCAACCACTTACCATCAGGTTGACTGTGTGTTTGTCACCTTAATGCATATAAAAAAGCAGTGGTATAATACACCGTAATGGTGACCATATCATAAATATTTATGTGCAGTTCCTTCCTAAACAAACTAAAAATTTAATGTATTACAGTCTAATTTCGACCACTAAACGATCATTAAATATTATTACTATTCTTTAACTTACGTTACCGATCTTAATGGGAACAAAGTTACCGTTTGGTAATTTATTTGAATCTTATAATTTGTCACTTCAACTCCAATGTTTTTCTCTAAACGACCGCTAGCGACATAATTCGCCTGTCTGCTCATTATAATTACTCATTGCCATCACTAATTATATCTCATTTGACTCTCGCGACGTAAACGTTATTCTGTTATTAGACATAGTCCGAAAATTAATGTCGTGCAGTTACAATGTGATGCTATCAGTTGTATTTTAATACAGATATTGGTTGGTGAATTAATGTATGAATTAAAAGTTTTGGATTTAATCATTTATTGTTGTTTGCGGTGCTGTTTTGGATTGGTATTGAAACAACATTGAAACTGACTGGAAAATGGGCTTTAGTTGTTTGAGTGTTCTGAGTGACATGCATCACGTTCCATGCCACTGTGTAGTGACTTCGTAAAAATATCCACTATTCCATATCATCCCGTGGATGTCGTAAGAGACGGCAGACGGAGGAATGTGCAGCATTTTACTAACAACAACTTAAAATAATAAAACCTGCGATCGATAACTCGCCTGCTACTGGCAACTATGTCAAAATACAAGAAAAACCCTTCTCCCACCCTTACATGAAATGTGGTGCATGTGCCTCTCATGAGCTCTCATGAGCGTGAGCCTATTGAACAACCATTGCTGAACATAAGTCGCCGCCTTAGATAACCTCACATAGGGGATCCCAGTGGTTTTTCAATGGGGGTGTCACTATCATGATTCATCACGCCCCATGTAATGGGATATTTGTGTTTTATTTCAACTGTATTTTCTAGGCTTATTTGTCGTCCGGTAATCGCGCAGGTTGTTTAGTGCGCCGTAAGTTGTTAATCACGACCCTAATTTAAATAAGTAAATTGTATTTCCGCAACAATGTTTTGTTGCCGGAATTAAATTTCCATGACAGATGTTCAAAAGTTGTTAGGAAAAGGGCTCGAGTTCATTTTGATCTCATAATCGCTTCACCATTAGTAAGTATTCTGCTAGACACAGTACTTTCAAGTCATATGCACAGCAGCCAGTTGTTCGGTTGTGCTGCTGCGAGTTGGGGGAAATTTATTAATAATAATGATTTCTTATATTTACGCGAACACTATACATGATTAAAACTACTTTTACGGATTTTATCGCGTTTATTTTTAATTTTTATTTACTTTTATTTTTAATTCCCGACGTTTAATTTAATTTATGACGAGCTTCTATTAGAACATTCTACAAGCCGCCGAAGAAGATTAGTCAGTTCCTACCATCCGTCAAGTGTCATATTCCTCTACAAGATGCAGGAGTGTACAAGCTTGATTGTGAATGTGGTCTGTCTTATATAGGACAAACAAAAAGATCAATTAGGACCCGCGTAAAAGACAACATATAGCTGATGTGAAGCATCAACGTTCCAGGAAGTCTGCAGTTTGTGATCATATCCTAGACGGACCCAACCATTACATCAGATTTGATAGACCACAAATCCTCGCGAAAGAACACCGATTCCTACCAAGGATGATACGTGAGGCTATTGAAATTAAAAAACATCCTAATTTCAATAGAGAAGGAGGCTGGATACTACCACCTGCTTGGGATCCTATAATCAATAAAATTAAAACTAAACCCAAGCATACCACTGCAAGACCTCAGGACATAGTTAGTTCATTTTGCATAGATCGGACCATAAACAATAATTAAAAAAGCTGAAGGTACTCCGAGTTTAACAATGACATCGGGACGTCAGTCATCTCAGTCCCCCGTGACCATGGGTGCTGGAAAACGCCCGAAACTTCAGGAATTAAAAATAAAAGTAAATAAAAAGTAAAAATAAACGCGATAAAATCCGTAAAAGTAGTTTTAATTATTAATAATAATTGAAATAAGTAATTGTTCAGGGCTGGGTGTTAGTTGTTAAATTGCATAAATAAAACGCTACCGTGTAGTAGTGACGGTGTAAGGATATCCACTACCGTATCATCCCGCGGGTGTCGTTAGAGGCGACATAGGGAAACAAATTAGGAGGCGGGCAACAGCGTTTTCCCAGTAATGACTAAAATAAAGAAAACTGCGGTTGATAACCAATGAAGCGTGGCAGCCATGGCAAATATCCCCTATAATACTCTATGAGGAAATCTATAGGGGAGGCCTGTGTTCAACAGTGCACCTTAATAGGGTATAACGGTAAACACGACAAGTCACAGGCGGATTATTTTTTTTTCTTTTTTTTAATAGGATAGGGTGACAAACGAGCACAGTCCACGAGTAAGTGTTTGCTGCGGCCCATAGACATCTACATCTATCCTCGATTACGAATCAAAATGCAGATGCGTTGTCACCTGTGAGGACTAAGATGGAATGCCTCCTTTCCAGTAAAAAGTGTCTCATGTTCTCTACACTCACCATACGAAATATAGCAGCATTAAGCTGCTATTTCACGCTGGTATTCTGTGAGAGCGTGGTCCTTCCCCGGTCGAGCCGGAAGAGTTGGTAGCGCAAAGCTGCTACCCACGCCCTGGTAGTGGCGCTTTCCAACATTTTTTTTGGTCTTAATCGTCCGGCAGCGGATTAAGGCGACACCGCGAAAAAATTCACCTCCTTTCATCGAATAGTATAGGACTATGACGTCACCATCGAAAGTGGAATTTTGATATAGGTAAATTCATGTCTTTATCTTAAATTTGCTTGTTCAAAACAACAATAGTATAATTTCGACTCGATCATAATTATATGCGTAAACACCTCTAAAAATCACTATAGTTGAAATTACAACCAAATTACTTAATCTATATGCTTGGGAATGACTATTCATAACATCAATATTCATAATTTGTATGCTCATTATTTTGATTACTTAAATCAATATTTAAAAAAATATTTTAAGATTCTTACAATTTCTAAGCGCTCTTAATCATCGCGGGCGCTACGCAATTTTAGACCTTATGAGGGCGTTTTTTAAGATTTTGTAGAGATTATGTATTCACTCGGATCAGTACGGAGATAGCCCGGAGCCACTTTTTCGATGTGTCGTCTTAAGGAGAAATATAACCTCAAATGGCTTAGCAAGATCCTCCGTTATGCCGAAAATATTGCAGCATTAATTTTGAAATAAATATATGGTAAAGCTGAGGATTAATGTTAAGTACTATGTTAGACGAAAACACGATTCCGTAAAATTTTCTCGATAGAAAAAAAATCCAAAGTTATATCCAAACTGAACAATAAACCGCTATAGTCATAAAATACTTTAGATAAGATCATGAAACTTTGCATACTAACTGACCTAACTATAAAAGCAGGGCTTATGTTTTTTATTTTTTTAAATCACCATTATTTTCACTGTAAAAAGAAATTACCTAAACTATCGGCGTCCTTAAGCTTGGAACCGGGCGGCAGGAAACAAGCTCCTTGCCTGCACCAGAAGAATCACTACAATGGACAGAACAACTTCTTTCAACATCTTAGCACGCGTAGAATGACTTCACTCGTGAAACGATTCAAGCGCAATCTCGCGCGCTCTGCACCTACACTG